CTCCACATTTTCCTTCCTCTTTTATGAGGCCAATAGAAGAAAGAAGGGTTAAAGATTGTGCTTACTTCTGCTGACATATCCCAACTACACCCAAACAAAGATAGAAGCCAAGCCCAGAGCTCTGCAGTGACACTACAAGATAAAAATAGATGATTACAATCCTCACCATGAGATCTGCAAAGAATGCACCAGTTTRGTGAAATASAAAGGWYGRGTCTTCTCTTTTGTAGGTTGTCCATCGTGTTTACTTTACCATGCCACACTTCCCAACACAAAGCCATAACACCTTGGGGGGGACCGACCTACACCAGACTTCTTTGAAAGGGAAACTCTGATGAGAGGGAGATTGGCAGTAGAACTTGAAAAAGGAACCACAAGAAAAAAACCCTTTCGAGCGAATGCCCAAATCCTTTTATCAGGTTTTGAGGGATCCAACCAAACCTTATCAAAGAGATATAGAAGAGTAGACAAACACTCAATTTCCTCATCCCTTAATCCTCTACGGAAACCAAAATCCCAAGACAAAGTTGATAAGGATAAATTCGACGGAAGGAATTTTGAGATCACCTCATTTTTATACAAGGAACCAGAGTACAATGAAGGAAAAAGGTCTTTCAAAGGGAGATCTCCAACCCAAATGTCCTCCCAAAACCGAAGAGAATTACCTGAACAAGCATCATACCTGACACAGCTAAGGAAATGCGGAAGAACTTTGTGAATTGCTTTCCAAGGTGTGGCTAGGTTAGCCCTCCTTGATGCACCAGCATCCAAACCACTCTCTGAACATCCATGAATACTCTTCACTACTTCGTGCCAGAGTCTATCCCGCTCCAAAGGCCATCTCCACAACCACTTCCCTAAHAGAGTTGAGTTCTTTTTAAGCACATTCCCGAGCCCTAATCCTCCCTCCTCTTTGCTTCTACCCACAACCCCCCACTTAATTAAATGGTCTTTTTGCCCTTCTCCTGGTTCCCATAGAAAATCTCTCATCAATTTTTCCAACTTCTTTACTTCCCTAGACAGTATCCTAAAGATAGAGAGATAATAGGTAGGTAGATTCATGAGGGTAGCTTTTATCAAAGTGATCCTCCCACCCAAAGAGATAATTTTTCTTCCAAACAGCTAGTCTCTTTTCTAACTTCTTGAAGACTGGGGTCCAAAACCTACTCTCCTTAGGGTTTGCTCCCAACGGAAGCCCTAAGTAAGACAGTCTGCAATCGCCTCAACCTCCTCAAAAACTAAATTTACTCCGGCTATGCAACTTTTTCCTAGATTGATTTTCAAATTAGAGACTCCTTCAAAAACTGTAATCAATTCTTTCAAATTTTCCACCTTCTCACTGAAACCTCCCTCACAGAAGATCATCAAGTCATCTGCAAACTGAAGGTGAGTGACT